GTCTGGGCCCCCTGAACTTATTTATGGCCCTCTTAACGGTGGGGGATCCCCCTGCTTTCTTTGGGGGGGAGGGTGCATCGTTCCCAAATCTTTTTGTTTTCTTTAGTGAGTGTTTTTCGTGTGAAAAAGTTCGGAAACTACCCCCTCTAGGTTTTTCCTGGTGTTAAAAACATGTATCTCCCCCTCCTGCTTTCCAGGGAATACGGGTTTAGAAACCTAAAGGCCCCCATTTAATTGAGGTTTTATCTCCGTTATGCCGCGATGACAACCACCCACACGATCAGTGTAAAGGGCTCCCCCACCCGATCGTGTGATGTCCCAAACCAACACAAACAGGTGAGGGCTCCCAAACCCACACATCAGTTGTGAACCCCCCACCGATCATTTGTGATACTACCCCCACCGATCATGTGATGACTACCACCCACCCGATCAGGTGATAACTACCCCCACACGTAGTGTTGAGACTACCACCACCCCGTTCAGTGTGATGTTACCACCCACACGACCGTGTGATGATACCACCCCACGACAGTGTGATGGTTTACCCCCCCCCCAAAACCCGGACAGTGTGGGGAACCTCCCACCCAAAACGATCGTGTGATGACTACCCCCCAAAAGATCAGTGTGATGGTTTTCCCACCCACAGGGATCAGTGTTATGACTCCCCCCCCACGCCCGTGTGTTTGACTACCACCCACACGATCAGTTTTGATGATCCCACCCACACGATCATTTTGATGCTACCACCCACACGTTTCAGTGTGGGGACTACCCCCCCACACGATCAGTGTGATGAATACCACCCACACGATCAGGTATGACTACCACCCACACGATCAGTGGGGTGACACCCCCAGAAAGGGTGAAACTGGAGGTGCGCCGGGAAACGAAATGGTGAAGCTGGAGGTGCTGTCCGGGAGACAGTAATGGCGAAGCGGGAGGTGCTGTCCGGGGAGACAGTAAGGGGAAGCTGGGGGTGCGTCCTGGGAGACAGTAAGGTGAACGGGATTTTGTCCGGTAGCGGAATTATACCAGGAAGGAATACATATAAAGACCTCATAGGGACGGAGCCGTAGTGGGGAAACAATTTAGAAAAGATAAGATAAAACCAAATTGCAAACAAAATCCCACAGGAAATAGAAAACAAGAGACTCCCAGCATATGAGGAATATTACCAAAAAAACTGGGGGGACTCCATTGTTGGTGCTAGGGAGATGGGAAAAGACAGGGAAACATGCCCCAAAAGGGGAATACAGTCACAAAACCCAAGGCAAACGGAAACCAACCCTGTGCACAACATCATTTGGGTATCTCAACAGGGGAAAAACTGGAAAAACAGACGGACGTGAAACTATGACCACCCAAAAAACCCCGTCCCCATATGACAACGGGAAAATGCAAACTCCCTTAAGCTTTTTCCCCCAAAATTGTACCTCTTCAGTACAGGAAAGACTGTCATAATTAAATTTGCCAGGCACACCATCAAAAGGGGGACAAAAAGTACAAAACACCAGGCCAGGGGAAAACCTGGTAGCCCAGCCACTCAAGAGGGAAGGTTTTTTAGTGCCGGGGAAGAAAAAAACTGGCGGGAAATGGCAGAAATTGTACCCCAAATCCAGTCATTCCGGAGTGGAACCACATCGAGGCCCCACCCCAAACCAGCAATACAGAACAATGCCAAAAAAAAAATCCCCCCCCCAGACCAACAATCCCCACCACCAGACTTCTTCTTTGCAAATATACAGGTCTAAAGCCAGCAACAACAAAAAAATATTTTTCATCCGTGGACTGCTTGCAGAGGAAAAGGGAAAAGTTCGCGGCTTTCACGAGACCCACATAAAGGATCACTTGGACAACGAAATATGGATCCCATTTTAAAACCAATACAGAGTGACGAGTGAACGGGAAAAAGGGGGGGGGGGGTTGCCGTACTTTGCAGAGTCACTTTTTTGCACAAACTGCTTAACCCTCAGTAGTAGTGGAAGTTTTGGGGCAGTAAGGTCGAAACCAAAACCTATCTTTGGGGAAAGTCTACAAGCCTCCGGAGCAACACCCACAATTCCGGAACAGCTGTTAAAAATTGACCACTGTCGGGAAAAATTTTCCAGCTCCTGCCCCCAACATCTTGCTCCTGGGGATTTCAATTTAAAGGCACCTAAAATGGAGAATATAGCAAAAAATTTTTTTTGTGCGTAATAACACCATTAGGCAGCTCTGATGAAAACCACACTCACACGGCTTTTAAATCTCTGCCAAAATTCAATTTAAACCACAAATAAAAGCCTACTAGACGGGAGAATACACAGACCTCATCTTCACTAAAAATGATGACTGATAAGAAATTCACCTTTCAAAAAAAATATACCAACCAACATAATTGAGGTTCAGCCCTGTAGCGGGACCCCCAACCGACATAAGAGTTTCACAGGGACATTCACCAAATTCAACTTAAATAACAAAAACAAAAGTGGGACTAAGAAAACCAAGCCCCCAACCGATAAAGCTGAAATATATAACAACACAGCCCCCAACTTATCCCCTAAAACAGATTAATTTGGTGGCACCATTATGCCCAAGGCTTATTCCCTAAAAAAAGGGGAGTAGAGTAAAATAGAAAGAGGCAGGCGTTTCCTTTTACAGGCGACGGAAAAATAAAGAGCGGCTAAAAAAGGTCAAAAATATCTGAAATGCGAGGGGAACAAGGTCAAGAAAAGCAAGTATCGAACTCAAGCTAAAGAAAACTTATAGGTTTAGGGAACGCGGGGAAAAACTAAAAGCCCTAAATAAATCAAAAAAACCCAAATATTTTTTCTCATATGCCAAATCAAATCAGAACAACGTCCGTATTGGGGCCCCACTTAAACAAGATGGGGCCTCCAGATGAAGCAAGGGAAAAGATGGGTACTCAAGTCCCAAAAGACTCATTTTTTTGCAAGCCCAACCAGACTGAGACGAAGATCAAAATAATTTTTTTTTAAGAGCCCCAAAATTTGTTTAAAACCAAAACCTAACCGATGTTATCCGACCCAAAAAACTTTGAAAAAGGCGATAAATACAGCCATGCACTCTGCCCCAGGGCCAGACATGGAACTCCTGTTCACAAGAACTGCAAAACCCCATCACGAGCCTTTTTTCCCTCCTATGGAAGGGAGATAACACGGGGGGGTCCCAAGTTACTAAAACAACAGACATAGCCCCACTCCACAAAGGGGCAGAAAAACAACAGCAAAGAACAAAAGACCGATAGCACTAACATCCCCCTAACATAAAAATCTTTGAAAGGGGCCCAAAAGCAAGATCCCACCCACTAAAACCCATCATTACACACCCAGGGCAACATGGGTTTAGAACAGGTCCTCCTGTCTTTCTCAACTATTGGGGTCACACGACAAGGGCCTAGTGCCAGAAGACAAAAAAAATGCAGATTTAAAAAATACAGACTTTGCAAAAGCCTTCGACAAGTGTGACCCTGGCGTAAAGCGCACAAAATGCGTGCTAAAAAATAACGAAAGCGGTCGTGGGCATAATTCCTCACTAACAAAACACAGAGAGTATCGTCAACGAGTCAATCCGAGGCAGCTACGGGGAAAAGCTCTGTTCCACAAAGGGACAGTACTCGCTCCCATCTTTTTCCCCATCCTCATACTGACATAACAAAGGGGTTTACCACAGCACCGTTCTTCCCTTTTCAGATACACCCGAATCTGCATGACATGTCTTCCATTGCAACACTGCAAGGCTCCAGGCAGACACAACCAAAACTTTCATGGCTGCAGAAAACAAAAGTTCAACGATGGAAATTTCAATTTCCAATATGGAAAAAACAGGAAATTAAATCTTCATCAAGTACAAAACAAATTCGGCCACAAAAAAAAGCGAAACCCCAACGTCCCAAAAACCGGAGTACATGTCGGAGGGTCTCACCTCAAGGACCATAACATTGATCAAACGCATCGCAGAAAAAAGACGGATGGATAATAAAAACCTCAAAAATAGGGGGGCCAAGCCAATGAAAGAACCCCCTTCAGGGCACTTGTTCACTAGGCGGAAATGCGCACACTAACTGCACCTTTCAAGGCAGGTGAAATTGCGACCTAGAAAAGTACAGAGAACCTTCACGGCGCGCATAAAGGATAAAAACACCCCAAATTTCTGGGGGCGCTTGAGGTTCCGAACCTTATTTCCCCGGAACGCAGGCGGGAGAGAACATGATTATAACACCTGGAAAATCCCAGAGGGCAAATACCGAACTTGCACACAAAAAACCCTCACTACGAAAACAAAAAACTTGGCAGACGATGCAACATCCCCCCAATGAAAAGCGGGGTTCCTAGCACGTTAAGAGACCTACAATAAATGTCAGGGGCCCAACGTTCAACGCCTCCCACAACATAAGGGGATTACCAACAACCCCGGGAGCCTTTAAGCTGGCACTGGCAAGCACCTAAATCGTTTCCCGACCAGCCGGTTGTGGGTCTAGTTGGTTTTTCGTGCAGCCACATAACAGCCTGGTTTGGGGTCGGCCTGATCCACCAGGGGGGCCTGGGCACGACCGGGCCGCGGAGGCGTTACCCCCCAAATTTGATAGCACATTGTGTAGATCACTCAGCACTCTTGGCAATTTAAAACAATACAATACACTTTATAGACAAGCATTAATACCAAAGAATAAAGATCTATTTTTTTTTTTTTTTTTTTTTTTTTTTTTTTTTTTTTATTTTTTAAAATAAAATCTACAAGCAATCCTCGAAACTGGTCCTAGGTGTCACAGGGCCCCCATGTCCATACGTGATTGAAACAACATTTGCGATAACTATGGCACTTAGGCATTTTGGAGGGCAAAGTATTGCCAATATGATAGCTACAACATTAATACAAAGATCACAATATAGCCATTATTATTATACTCAAAAAGTAAGTGAACAAACCACATCAGTCAGACACAAACGTTTCAAGCTAAACACCATCTCAGCCCTCCTAAGGTAGCTTCAACGTACCTCCAAGTTTCTTCTCTTTAAATACTCGTTGACATTAGCCATTATTTTCTCTGTCTTGACCTTCTTCATCTTTTAGTGCATCTTTTAGTGCATGCTGGACGTCATAGTGGAAGACTGCAGCTGATGGCCAGCAGACATGTTTACCAAACACACGCCTGCCAACCCTACCTCACTACTACTACAACCACACACACGGTGAATATAACCATAACTACAACTTTACTTACTCTAGATTATGCACCCCTCAAGGGAGGTTCCTTGACGCTGGTGAGGAGTTCTTGATCTAGGGAATTGGATCCGTGCTCCCATTACCCTGAAATTGGAGCCTTGAAAACCTTCCAACCCTCCCCCCCACAATGCGTTTGTATAATCCTAAGGGTTTAGCGCTCCCACATGATTATAATAATAATAATCTAGATTATGCAGAAATCGCAAACAAGCGATACAAGATGCAAAACAGCCTTTCGTGTTGCAATCAACACATCTTTAGGAGCTTGCAATGTTGCAAAGCGATCACTAGGAGCACCTTTGTAAAGACTCTTCCTGTAGTGATCACACACTGACCCTGCAGGTGGTAAGATAAGATAAGATAAGATTTCGTTCGGATTTTTAACCCCGGAGGGTTAGCCACCCAGGATAACCCAAGAAAGTCAGTGCGTCACCGAGGACTGTCTAACTTATTTCCATTGGGTCCTTAATCTTGACCCCAGGATGCGACCCACACCAGTCCGACTACCCCCAGGTACCTATTTGCTGCTAGGTGAACAGGACAACAGGTGTAAGGAAACGTGTCGGAATGTTTCCACCCGCCGGGAATCGAACCCGGGCCCTCCGTGTGTGAAGCGGGAGCTTTAGTCACCAGGCCACGGGGCCACCCAAAGGTTTAATGCCAACAGCATTTGGTGTTCCCAGGCGGTCACCCATCCCCCCCCAAGTACAACCAAACCCCAACGTGCTTCACTTCGCTGATCGGACGAGAAGCGGCGTCTCCAACGTGGTTAGGCCGTTGACGATGCACACCATGGTAGTGATCACACACTGACCCGCAGTAGTGGTTAGTCATCACACACAGACCCTGTATGTGGTAGTCATCACACACTGACCCTGTAGGTGGTAGTCAACACACTGACCCTGTAGGTGGTAGTCATCACACACTGACCCTGTAGGCGGTAGTCATCACACACTGACCCTGTAGGTGGTAGTCATCACACACTGACCCTGTAGGTGTAGTCCATTCACACACTGACCCTGTAGGTGGTAGTCATCACACACTGACCTTGTAGGTGGTAGTCATCACACACTGACCCTGTAGGTGGTAGTCATCACACAATGACCCTGTAGGTGGTAGGCATCACACACTGACCCTGTAGGTGGTAGGCATCACACACTGACCCTGTAGATGGTAGTCATCACACACTGACCCTGTAGATGGTAGTCATCACACACTGACCCTGTAGGTGGTAGTCATCACACACGACCCTGTGGTGTCTAGTCCATCACACACTGACCCTGTATATGGTAGTCATCACACACTGACCCTGTAATGGTAGTCTCACACACTGACCCTGTAGATGGTAGTCATGCACACACTGACCCTGTAGATGGTAGTCATCACACACTAACCCTGTAGGTGGTAGTCATCACACACTGACCCTGTAGGTGGTAGTTTACCTGGAGTTTACCTGGAGAGAGTTTCGGGTACAACGGCCCCCCGCGTCCGGGTCTGTACCAGGCCTCCTGGTGGATCAGCGCCTGATCAACCAGGCTGTTGCTGCTGGCTGCACGCAAACCAACGTACGAGCCACAGCCCGGCGGATCAGGAACTGACTTTAGGTGCTTGTCCCAGTGCCAGCTTGAAGACTCCCAGGGTCTGTTGGGAATCCCCCTTATTGTTCTGGGAGGCATGAACATCACGGGCCCCTGACACTTATTGTAATGGTCTCTTAACGTGCTATGGACACCCCTTGCTTTTCATTTGGGGGAAGGTGCATCGTCTGCCCAAGGTCTTGCTTTCGTAGTGAGTGATTTTTCGATGTGGCCAAGTTCGGTACTAGTCCCTTAGGAATTTACAGGTGTATATAATCATGTATCACCCCACACCGACCCTGTAGGTTTGGTAGTCACACACACTGACCGTGTAGGAGGTAGTCATCACTCCCTGACCCTGTAGGTGGTAGTCATCACAACAACACTGACCCTGTAGGTGGTAGTCATCACCACATGACCCTGTAAGTGTACCACACACTGACCCTGTAGGTGGTAGTCATCACACACTGACCCTGTAGGCGGTAGTCATCTCACACTGACCCTGTAGGTGGTAGTCAACACACTGACCCTGTAGGTGGTAGTCATCACACACTTACCCTGTAGGTGCAGGCAACACACTGACCCTGTAGGTGGTAGTCCATCACACTCTGGGCCCTGTAGGTGTAGTCATCACACACTGACCCTTAGGTGTAGTCATCACACGAGACCCTGTAAGGTGTATCACACACACTAACCCTGTAGGTGGTGTCTCACACACTGACCCTGTAGGTGGAAGTCATCACACTGACCCGTAGTGTAGTCATCACACACTGACCCTGTAGGTGGTAGTCATCACACACTGACCCTGTAGGTGGTAGTCATCACACACTGACCCTGTAGGTGGTAGTCATCACACACTGACCCTGTAGGTGGTAGTCATCACACACTGACCCTGTAGGTGGTAGTCATCACACACTGGCCCTGTAAGTGGCAGTCATCACACACTGACCCTGTAGGTGGTAGTCATCACACACTGACCCTGTAGGTGGTAGTCATCACACACTGACCCCTGTATGTGGTAGTCATCACCACACCTGTACCCTGTAGCGTTGGTAGTCATCACACACTGACCCTGTAGGTGGTAGTCAACACACACTGACCCTGTAGGTGGTAGTCATCACACACTGACCCTGTAGGTGGTAGTCATCACACACTGACCCTGTAAGGGCGGTAGTCAGTCACACACTGACCTGTAGGGTGGTAAGTCACACACACAGACCCTGTAGGATGGTAGTCATCACACACTGACCCTGTAGGTGGTAGTCATCACACACTGGCCCTGTAGGTGGTAGTCATCGCACACTGACCCTGTAGGTGGTAGTCATCACACACTGACCCTGTAGGTGATACTCATTACACACTGACCCTGTAGGTGGTAGTCATCACACACTGACCCTGTAGGTGGTAGTCAACAACACACGTGACCCCTGTGTAGGGGTAGTCATCACACATTTTTTTTGGGGGGGGGGGGGGGGTCCCAGTAGGTGGTACTCATTACACACTGACCCTGTAGGTGGTAGTCATCACACACTGACCCTGTAGGTGGTAGTCATCACACACTGACCCTGTAGATGGTAGTCATCACACACTGACCCTGTAGGTGGTAATCACACTGATCGTGTGGGTGGTAGTCATCACACTAATCGTGTGGGTGGTAGTCATCACACACTGATCGTGTGGATGGTAGTCATCACACACTGATCGTGTGGGTGGTAGTCACAACACACTGATCGTGTGGGTGGTAGTCATCACATTGATCGTGTGGGTGGTAGTCATCACACACTGATCGTGTGGGTGGTAGTCATCACACACTGACCTTGTAGATGGTAGTCATCACACACTGATCGTGTGGGTTGCAGTCACCACACACTGATCGTGTGGATGGTAGTCACCACACTGATCGTGTGGGTGGTAGTCATCACACACTGATCGTGAGGGTGGTAGTCACCACACACTAATCGTGTGGATGGTAGTCCACCACACTGATCGTGTGAATGGCAGTCATCACACTGATCGTGAGATGGTAGTCCATAACACTGAACGAGTGGGTGGATCAATCACCACTGATCCGTGTGGGTGGTAGTCACCACACTGATCGGTGTGGGTGATATCCACCACGCATCTGATCGTGTGGAAAGGTTAGTTCACCACCCCACTGACCGTGTGGTGGTAGTCATCGCACCCCGTCATCGTTGTGGTGGTAGTCATCACACACTGACCTGTAGGTGGTAGTCATCACACCTGATCGTGGTGGGTTGCAGTCACCATACACCTGATCGTGTGTATGGTAGTCACACACACTGATCGTGTGGGTGGTAGTCATCACACACGGTGATCGGTGTGGTGGTAGTCACCACACATTAGATCATGTGGACAGTAGTCACCACACTGATCGTTAGGAAGGATAGTCATCACACCTGATCGTGTGGATGTATCCATCACACTGCGTGTGGTTGGTAGTCCTCACACTGAACGGGTGGGTGGTAGTCACCACACTGATCGTGTGGGTGGTAATCATCACACTGATCGTGTGTATGGTAGTCACCACACACTGATCGTGTGGATGGTAGACACCACACACTGATCGTGTGGGTGGTAGTACCATCACACACTGATCGTGTGGGTGGTAGACACCACACACTGATGTGTGTGTTGGTAGTCACCACACACAGAATCGTGTGGTGGTAGACACCACACACTGATCGTGTGTGTGGTAGTCACCACACACTGATCGTGTGGATGGTAGACACCACACACTGATCGTGTGTGTGGTAGTCACCACACACTGATCGTGGTGGGGTAGTCACGCACACACTGATCGTGTGTGTGGTATCACCACACACTGATCGTGAGGATGGTCGACACCACACACTGATCGTGTGTGTGGTAGTCACTCGGACACACTGATCGTGTGAGTGGGTAGACCACCACACACTGATCGTGTGGATGGTAGTCACTCACACACTGGATCGTGTGGATGGTAGTCACCAACACACTGATCGAGTGGAAGGAAGACACACACACTGAACGTGTGGATGGTAGCACCCACACACTGATCGTGGGATGGTAGTCACCACACACTGAACGTGTGGATGGTAGACCCCCCCACACTGGATCGAGTGGATGGAAGTCACCACACACTGATCGTGTGGATGGTAGTCACCACACACTGATCGTGTGGATGGTAGTCACCACACACTGATCGTGTGGATGGTAGACACCACACACTGATCGTGTGGATGGTAGTCACCACACACTGATCGTGTGGATGGTAGTCACCACACACTGATCGTGTGGATGGTAGTCACCACACACTGATCGTGTGGATGGTAGACACAATCACACCTGATCGTGTGGTAGTAGTCACCACACATCTGATCGTGTGAGGTAAGACAC